ACTCACTTTTCTACTAGCACACACTTTACATCTCTTTTAGGACAGTCACTCCCACAGTATTAGTGCTTACTAGTAGTGTATATGTTACTATACTAGTATGAGCACTACGAACTGCTGTGTTAAGGGGTTCTCTTGGTGCTGCTCCCCTCTCACATTTTGTCATCCACCCCGGTTTGAAATGAGAAGGAAACAATGACTTTGAGGAGTTCGTTAATAGCGGCATTTTTATTTTTTACTGTAGCGAAGAAGCATTTAGAACACGTCTCGTATGCTTTTCTTTGTTGCTACGGTAGTAGAAGGAACTTGCACAATACTACGGATATCATAACAAGTGATCGCCACACTAAGAAATTGGTTCCCATCGTTATTTTAATGATGCCATCCTTAATTTTTTCTGTACAAATTCTCCAGAGTTGCTCTACTGAGTGTTGCTCCCCAAAATTTTCAGCATGTTTTGCAGAAAGAAGCTGGATTGGTTCTCCGCCACCAGAATAGTTGCAAACTACCTCAGTACATTTTGTGCTGTGTTCTACTGGGCTAAGGATGGCATCATTAAAATAACCATGGGAACCAATTTCTTAGTGCCGCGATCACTTGTTATGATATCCGTAGTATTGTATTGAAGGATTTTGATTGATCTGCCGTGCATGGCACATGTCCACCACGATTCGCTCATGCAATATTCGTTCGTGGTTGTCGAAATCGAAAAAAGGATTAAGAAAAAAGTACGCTAATACGAGCGACGAGGTTTCTTTGCCCAAGACTCCACTGTTTTTTGTTTAAAGTACTTCAATAAAGTACTGTGAGGTAGGTACTACTCGTACGTACCGGTACGCTTCGACAGTCATCCGTAGTCATGAAGTTATTCATTTCTGCACGGTACAGAGGGGCGGCGGCGGTAACGTACGTTACCATAAATCAAGGACAAAAACTAAAAGCAAACAATTTACTGCATTGTATTTTAAAATAAAAACTTCTACATCAAGAAGAAAGAAGCACATCAATAATAACACAACAATTGGTGAAAAGGATTATATCAGAAAACAGCAACGACAAACTCTCGCTCGGTCGAATTATCTTCTCTATCGATAGAAGGCAGCAATAACCACGCAAGTAATTGACATCGAGGGCCGGATGGGTGGAATCGCAGAGGATGGTAACACTAGTGTTGTCGACATCGCTGTCGGCGGCATGACGTGTTCGATGTGCTCCAGTGCGATACACAAGGCTTTGACGGGGATGACAGGGATTAACAACGTCACAGTGTCACTTGCCACCAATATTGCTAGCGTGGAATACGTCGAAAGCGAGACTCTTACCGCAGAAATTATTGCGGAAGAAATCGAAGATATTGGATACGACGTGACCGATATTATAAGAAAAGTCCCGGCATACAGAAGAACTCGAGTGCTCAAATCAGTGGAATATGCCGTTGGTGGAATGACATGTTCTATGTGTTCGAGTGCAGTAACTAAAGCCTTGACGGGGATGCCGGGAGTCCAAACTGTTGACGTCTCTCTCTCAACCAACACTGCAAGAATATCTTATTACGACGATGATCAAGTAGAGAACGATACAAACGAACCCTTGGACTATCCCGGTGATTTCCAAGAAATGATAGAAGACATTGGATATGATGTAAACGGCGTAGTCGATGATTGCGGAGAAGAAAGCTTGTGCGAAAACAATGACGACAACGATGTCGACGAGTTGGTTCCCAGCGAAGCTGAAAATCGACTGGAACGTATTCTGCGGCAACAAAATTCCGAACTCAAGGCCAGGAGAAATGCTTTTTTGTGGAGCTTTGTAGGAACCTTCCCCATTTTGATTATAACGATGGTGATGCCCCGAGTTTTGCACAAGGACAATTTCGTTTGTCAATTTATGAGACGGCACGTAGATGTCTTCGGCTGCAAACTATTGATAGAAGCGATTATCCTGTGGATGTTGGCCACGCCGGTTCAATTCTTGTGCGGGCATTCCTTCTACAAGACTGCATTCCACGGGATTCGAAGAGGCGTTTTGGGGATGGATGTACTGGTGTCGATAGGGACGACATCGAGCTACGTATATGCTTTCCTGGCCATGTGGAAAAATGATTCCGGGTACCGCTTTTTTGAGACTTCTGCGGTACTGATTTCATTCGTTCTTCTCGGGAAATGGATGAACGCAATGGCTGTTCGAAAAACTAGCCAGGCGTTKACACAATTGATGAAGCTACAAGCCAAGACTGCTATTAAAATTACCATCCCTCCCTCCACCAATTCATCGACCTGGAATCCACTGACAGACCCGTATTCAGAAGAGATCGTACCCATCCAAAAAATCAAACCGGGAAATATTGTAAAAATTTTACGCGGTGCTAATATTCCTGCCGATGGCACTGTTATCCATGGCGAATTAACGGTTGACCAGAGCATGATTACAGGAGAATCCATTCCGGTCTTGAAATCACCAGACGACGCTGTAATAGGTGGAACAATTTGTTCCGAAACAGGAACCGTGGAGGGAGATAACAATGCTCTAACAGCGGCTGCCTTTGTGAGGGTGACGGGAGTGGGAGCTGACTCTGCTCTTTCGAAGATTGTTCAGATGGTTCAGGACGCCCAGTCACGGCAGGTTCCCATACAAAAACTAGCCGATGGAATTGCATCCATATTTGTTCCAGTGGTTGTCGTCTTTTCAATATTGACATTTCTGACATGGTGGGTGTGCTGCAGCACGGGTCGCGTCCCTACCGGATGGTACGACAAAGAGAATCCAATTGCCTTTTCGCTTATGTTTGGAATCGCGGCCCTGGTCATTAGTTGCCCGTGTGCCCTCGGCTTGGCGACACCAACAGCCGTCATGGTAGGCACTGGTGTCGGAGCCAGTCATGGGATTCTAATGAAGGGCGGCGAAGCGCTTGAAGTAGCCTCGAAAGTTAATGCTGTGATTTTTGACAAAACCGGGACCCTCACAAGAGGGAAACCAGCTGTAACTGACTTTACTCGGGTGGTCTCGGACGAATATTTGAGGAGCCTGATGAGTAACGATGTGGCACAGATCTCAGCAGATTACTTTTTGCTTTGGTTGTTGGGTTCTTTGGAACGCAATTCGGAACATGTTTTGGCCACAGCCATCGTCAAATATGCGGAACTCAATATCGAAAGTTTACTCAGATCTTTGCCATTTGCTCAGCCTTCTGACTTCGTACCAGTTACTGGTCGAGGGGCATCAGGGGTCATCAACGGCAAAACCGTTGCTATCGGTAACCGGGCCTTTGCTGAACTTCACACAGGCAGTATGAAGATATCTTCAGAGGCTGAAGAATGCATGCAGAAGTTGGAAGGCGATGGGAAAACAGCTATCCTTGCGGCAGTCAATGGCGTCGTTTGCGCTGTTCTCGGCATCGCCGACGAAATCAAGACCGAGTCCCCCGACGCTATCCGATATCTTCATGACCGAGGGATGGATGTATGGATGGTAACAGGAGATAGTTGGCGAACTGCCAAAGCGATAGCAAATGAGTTACAAATACCACGAGCCCGCGTTATTGCCGAGGCATTGCCTGACTCAAAGATAAACCAAGTAAGAAAGCTACAGAAAGAAGGGAAAATCGTTTGTATGGTAGGAGATGGTGTTAACGACGCTCCAGCTCTTGCAGAGGCTAACGTAGGAATAAGCATGGGAACAGGATCTGACATTGCAGCCGAGGCTTCCGATATGGTTCTGGTCGGTGGCAATATTTCCGGTACATGCACTGCGTTGCATCTCAGTCGAGCTATCTTTCGCCGGATTCAATGGAACTTCGTCTTTTCTATGGGTTACAATATAATTTGTATCCCGCTGGCCGCAGGTATTTTTTATCCAGCTACCCACGTGCGCCTTCCTCCTACGATGGCAGCAATCGCTATGGCACTCAGTTCCGTGAGTGTTGTTTGTAGTAGCCTGGCCTTGCGGCTGTACAAGCCACCGGATATTGTTGCAAGATCATCGAGTTCGCTATGCTGCAAACCGCTGGGACAGCTGCGACTACTTGGGCGACGGACCACTGAACAAGAATATGAAATGATTGCTCAACAGCCTCTTGCTTGGTCGGATGAGAATTCCGTAGGGTCGGACTTATTTGGGGATGAGATGGTCTAATGCCTCGTCATAATCATTATACAGCAAACTAATTTTATTGCACTCTACTCCAGTAACACAAGTATTCAATCCGCCTATCATTGTCGTATCTAAAGGTGACCCGACTATCAGCAAATTTTCAATGGCTCAAGAATTTGTTTTCTTTTCCTTGATTTTCTAGCGTCGATGGTCTCCACGATTCGATCGAATGCAATTTATGTACGGTACGGTACGTACGGGGGGTACCTGTACGTTAAGATCGTACTTCTAACAGTACGTACGGTAGCCTAATGCAGTACGTAGCAGTGCAGTAACGTGAAAGTACGTCGTCTAGTCGTATCAATTGGGAAAGCAGGAAGTCAGTATCGTACGGTACGGGTACCATACGTAGGGTACGTACCATAGTTGCCCGTGAAGGTGCAAGTTTTTGAAGTGCCTCCAGTGGTCCAACATGAGATATAGTCGTCCCGTACGAGTACGTAGCACAAGTACGAGCGCTTGTAGTCGTAAGAACTGAAACCGTAACGGGCATCCCAAGTTAATGCCAGCAGCATTCGATAACACCAGTCAACCGAACAATCAACAAGTACTCGGATGAGCGGTTGAAAACCTTCATAATACAATCGCTTTCCAAGTATCCGTTAAAATACTAGAAATATGGCATCACATGACTTGCATTTCACTGTATCGCAGAATGGCGTAGAAGATCCGTCGGCCCTTCATGACCCCTCGACGATGCCCGCTACTCCTGGCCCCCAAAGCGGGATTCTTGGTGAAACACTCTCGCAATCTGCCCATCCCGTCGTTTGCATCTTCCATTTACTGTTTAAGGGTCTGGCGCTTTTTTTCTACATTTTTGGGGGCTGGTTCTCCGGTGATGGGAAGGGAGGAAGCAGTGGGGCCAATTTTATCACCGTTACAGTGATTTGCATCCTTCTCTTGGCAGCCGATTTCTGGGTGGTCAAGAACATTACCGGGCGCCTCTTGGTTGGATTGCGCTGGTGGAACAAAGTCGAAGGTGACAAAACGAGCTGGATTTTTGAAAGCGCGGAGAATAGACAAGTGAATAAGTTTGATAGTTCCGTCTTTTGGACCGTGCTGTACGCTACGCCTGTCGTTTGGTCTGCTCTAATGGTAATTGGGATCCTAAAGTTCAATCTAGGATGGCTGATTATTGTCGTGACAGCATTGTCTCTTTCTGCTGCCAATGTTTATGGCTATTATAAATGCAGTACCGATCAAAAGGCGAAATTTCAACAAATGATGGCACAGGGGGCTCAAGCAGGAGCCATGACCATGGTACGTAGTAACATGTTGGGCTGGTTGACCGGCACAAGCAACACGCAACAACCACAGACACAGCAAACAAACACATACGTCTAAGCCTATTCCAGAACAACGACACCCATACCCAAAATGTCTGGTGATGAAAAGGAAGGCTGGTGTTGACAACAAGTTTGACACTACTTGCAGTTTAAATGGGTCGTCAGAGACTTTGAAATCCATTAAAAAATAAGAATTACATTGAATTGATTATATTTTGCTTGTCTGCTGGTCCCATCTGAAGGAAGCCTTGAGAGTTGGCGTACGTATTGGATTGTTCATGGCAAGAACAATCAGTAAAGTAAAATAACCAAGCTGTACCATGTTCAAAAGATGGTCTGATTCATGTTTTGCATTGAGTTTTCTACAACAAAGAAAGAAGACCGTAGCCAAATCCGGCAATCATAGATGAGATCCCAACATTCAAGAAGGTCTTCGGGCTCTCGCTGCCGCTAGTGGTGGACATGGTTTGCTCTTCACTTGTGGAAGTGGCATTTGTGGATTCGGTTTGTTCTTCAGTATATGGTAGCGTTTCGGGTGTCGAGGTCACGTCATCAGCTACTTCCGTGTACCATATTGTGAACTGATGTATTCAAGTAAAGAAAGTCGGATGAAAACCAAAGAGTAAACACAAGGACTGGGTGAGCGTCTCCCTTGTGCGAAATGGTGTGGTGCGAGTGAGAGTGGTATCAAACCGAACTTACGTCGCTACCTTCCCCCTCAAATACCACATCCGAACGAACATGAATATAATAGCTCTCTCCATTTTTTGCTAGAAACGAATATTGATTGCTCTCGTCTGCGGCACAATCGGTAACCACCATTTGTTGCGGAGGAAATCCCTTGCAGTTTTGCGAATTACATGATCGAAAGATGCCAAAATCTGTCAACTTGTCGTTATTGGTGCATACGTTGACAGTCACTTCTTTTCCAACTCCATTGATTTCGTACCAGACTGCTCGACGGTCACTCCGAGGACCGCAAACTCCTTGGTTGTTATAGTCATAGTTTGCATTGGAATTGTCCCCATTCACCTTCTCCGATTCTACCAGAGTAATCGAGTCGATGCATCGATCGTTCGATGGTCTCGCAACTGGAAAGGAAAAAGGGCAAAAATTATCGCGTAGAAAAGTATTGCATTAAGAACAATAGGAGTGAAAGAATGAACAGAATTTTGTCTTTTATCTTCTATCTGTTAGCATGGCCAACGTCGGCGGCGAGCCTTGTTGACAATACATGCCGTTACAACGTTCAAAAACTCACATACAAACACGCCGCTGTTCATCAGCAAGACGAGGATAGAAATCAACCGATTCATTGTCTTTCTTTTTCAAGCGCGACTGTGGCAAAGGTTGCACTTCTTCACTCTCTTCTGTGTTTGCTCTAGAACGACAAAGTGTTACCAGGTGCTGCTATTTTGAAAGGGATGGTGGGTTTTTCGGCTCCTGAGCAAACTAAATCTTTCTCAAGACTCGAAAAAGATAACATTATGAGCTCTTTCTGCGTGTATCGTGCGACGACTTAAGCCTTCCGAGAAAAGAACTTGGTGGATTATGGATTATTCGTACCCAACGGTAGGCCAGCCCTAGAACTAATACTACAGGGACTTGTGTCCGGTAAGGTTAAAATAGGGATCAGAGGTCACAAACCAAATGATGTGTGCAGAATCTTTATAGTTTATGAATTGCATGGCTAACGCACATAGTTTCTACAGTGCAAACACTAAGTGAGCAAAGGTGGAAAAGTAATATAAGGATTTAGAAACAAATTGAATATGCATGAAAAATCATTGGTGCTAAATACTAGTACCAGCAACAACAAGAACAACCACCATCTTCTTATCATGAACAACTCCCCATCCATAAATGATGATGTCTCAACTCTTCCTACCACCAATCATGTAAATACAGTCCCTGACTGGTTGAAGCCAAACCAAAAAAAGCCATATTTTTCCTTGCACTCAGGCTAGGGACCTTACAAAACGATGCGTTTCCACCACCAGTTACCTGGCTGAGGAGGCTACTGGTGTACTACCCAAGACTACTACTACTCCAACTAAGTCAAAAATAATTATGCTCATACCCCTACTTAGTAGCTCAACAAAATGACACATGTCAACTATTATTAGTACTGAAAGTCCTTTTCTTATTAATCTATTGCCTACTGGAAATTGACTTTAAAGCTACTTTTAAGCTACCTAAAAGTTACTTAAAAGCAGCTTGTTTAAAGTAGCTTTGCGGTTGCCCCTACCATATAAAACTTATTATACATCCACCAATTTCAACATAATTAACAGCCACTTTAAAGTAGCCTTAAAATTACCTAAAAGCTGTTTTATTTCTACTTTTAAGCTACTTTATTTCTACCTCTTACTAATCAATAACGGACTAGTAGCAACAATGGGCTATTATTATTATTATGAATGTGGTAAGCATCAGTACTACTGCCTAGTAGAGGATGTACACAACTAATACTGATTGTACCTCAGAATAGTCATTGATCCAGTACCATAAAGTATCTGGCAATGTGTAGTTTCATAACAGTCCAGACAAAATGCTTGCTTCTTGCTGAAATTTTACCTTGAAGTGCTGAGAGGACTGAAAGATGAAGATGGGGACCTACTACTAGTAGACTGCTGGTAATGGAACTGTCCAAAACCAATGTTTTGCAAGAAGCATGAACCACCACTTGACTACAAAAACAAATGGCAAGATGAGTACCAACAATATTTTAATGGGAGAATTGAATACTGCCTAGGCATACAGTGGTAGCCAAAACAAAATGTCTTCCAGACTTCAAAATCTAATAACAGAGAAGTTTTCCCCTTAGTATTCAGTTATGACATAGCAATCATTCAACTCCAATTGGACAAAAGAAGGTTGCATCAATGATATCTCACATTGAGTACTTCATACATGGAAAAATGGTTGAATAACTGAATGAACCACAATCTATGTCAAGTACCCTTGATCACAGGATATCTATGGCAAATTAGAACTACACTGGTGTCACTACTCATTCTATTGATGCGACTTGGATTGTGCACTTTGAGATTGGTTTGTTTTTGTACCAAGAAGGAGGAGAGAAATGCAAAGAGTTGACTGGTGATTTTCAAATATTGATGCTAGAAAAACTCAAGTTGGGATGTGCATATTTGACAACATTAAGAGCTTGTGAGCAATGTTTCTCCTAAAATGAACTCTCTAGGGGTGTTGATGGATGACCAACACTAGAGTAGTCACCATATTTGGTTTGCTGACCACAAAGTCCACAACACTTTAAATCATGATGATACCAAAGATTCAGGGGAAACATTTGGTGTTCTTGTTCATGCTGAGAGCTATGAAAAAGCAAAAGCATACATCCAATACTTCAGTTCAAGAACCTGTGCCACAGAAAAGCATCTTAAGAGGCCTTGGTGGGATTGACAATGTTGTGACAAGATGGCAGTCAACTTACTATGAAATTGACTTTCCTGTTTATCTCAAAACACCAACAGCAGAAGCAATGCATTCAGGGTCAACCATTAAAAAAGTGATGAAATTTACTGTCAGTGATGACTAGAAACACATGAACAATATTATGGTTGTGCTGAAGACTTCCAAAGAAGCCCAGAAGGCCAAAGAGAAAAACATGCAAGTTAGTGCAAGTTTGTTGTGCAGAACAATGAAAACAAAAAACAAAATTCTTAATAATACTTTATGTTGTGAACTAAGAGGCAGAGATGTTAAGACAGTCAGAGCCATAAATTCAGGAGTTGTATGCCCCTGCTAGTTCTTGTTCCAGGTGGTGGTACCTCCTTCAAAGGAGTGTTGTGGAGGCACTACTGCTGATGCTGACGCTTTATCTGACCGATGGTACTTTATCATACACAAGTTTTAACTAAAATAGAAGGAATGGTTGACTCTTCATTACTGCTGGTGATGGTTGTGTGATGGTTGGAAGCATAGTTGGAAGCATTTTTGTTACCTTTACTAGTCTTAAACACTACTAGTAGTACTAGGAGCTCTTGTGAATGATGGTGTGCTATGATGTTTGTTTATTTTGAGAGTTTTTGGGAGGTATTGCTTTCTCAGAATGTGATGACTACAGCACCAGTATCATGATAAATTCATACTATGAGAGCTCCCTTAGGCCTATTGAGTATTGGAACACATATTCCCCACTGAAATCACCAAGGTAGTAGTGTAACAATTTGCATCTAAGATCAAATCACTGACCTTTCATTGAATTGTCACAGAACCAAAAAACTGAATATTTTGTTTAATCTGCGAAGCAGAGGAGACACTAGGAGAATCAGACCCATCAATTCTTCCTTGAAAGAAGCATGCCTCTAGTTGTTCTACTAAAGGGTAGCACTTCAGGAAGTACATGGCCAGGGTAGTACATAACAAGTACTGGGGTGGGCTAGATAAACAAAGTGTTGGGTCAGGATGTTTTAGTGGGATTTGTGTCTGTCTTCTCCAGATACAACAAGATATGGCAGACAATTCAGATGACTCCTACCACAGACAGTGGTGCCAAGGGGAGCCCAAAGATTCTAGTATCACCATGCCCCAAGAAATTACAAAATGATGGAGCAGCTTTACTCACAACAAACCACTTATCCATTTTTTCCACTCCCCTGCTCTAAAAAATTGAAGCAACATGCCCCATGATCAGAGAGCGCCCTTGGATGGGAGATATGAAATCTAGTAAACAAGTGCTGGTAGTAGAGATCAGGCTACTATCACTAGAATCTCTAATAAAAATATCAACACTTTTTTCTTACTACCAACAAAGAGAAGAAAGAATTCTTAAAAACAAAGGCAGTCAAGTAACCTATGTCGGCCAGGGCCACAAATCTCGAAAGATGAACCCTCCTAGTAGTTGCTCCAAGGAACAGTGTCTTCCTAATCTGTATAGCAGTGCAAGCAGTTGCAAATTGTTTATGAGTTGCTGACCCTTTCATATGCACTAAGCTTTTCTCATATTATTTTGGATTCGTTGTGACTTGACGCCCATCCTGTTGTGAAACAATGAAAATAAAGTTGACAAATAGGGTTAAGGATTACCGTATACCCAATACTACAAAATACGGAGATGATGAACAAAGCAATGAAAGAGTCACGATTACACAACTCATACTCTTTAATTTATCTATTAGTGAAGCAGTTATTACTACGTTCATCTAATCTCCAGTCTTTAGCTAAGGGAGGGACGTGATAATCGTCTCCAGTGTGAGGAGCTTGACTGGAGGATCTACATAAATTAAAGAGTAATCAAGATAAAATGAGTGACGAAAAGAAAGTTAGAATCGTCGAAGCAGAGGCGGTTGAGCCKGAGCAGACAACTAAATCAAATAACCGAAAGAACAGCAGATACAATAACAAGAAGAAAGGATACC